ACGAGTGCAGGTACTGCTGCACAAAAAAAAAAAAAAAAAAAAAAAAATTGTGTGTGTTTTTTTAAACAACTTCTGTTACATAACACTGTAATATTCGCTTCTTTAACCTGTTGAATTCTGGGCTGGTTCTCAAGTCAGTGAGGCAGGATTAGCAGTGCGCTCACACAGCGTCAGTGTGAAAGAGATGAAGGAAATAAATGTATCTCTTGGCATGATGGAACAGATTCTATTCTGCTACTGAATTTGGTTGAAACCACACAGAACCTGATCTCACAGCTATAAAACGTTAAGGCAGTAATGCCATTTTTATTGGAGTCCACTGTAGTGATTAATTTCTCTGAGCAGATACAGATGGAAAGATTTTGCAGTGTTTCTGTACTGAAGAGAGATACACCGTGAATAATACTGTATATGAAACCGTTAAAGACGAAGATTTTACCCCCTACAAGGAGGTAATGACTAGAGGCTTTGTGATGACACCTTCTCTCCATTTCTGAGAATCTCATACATCTAATTACCACTGGATGAGGAGCACCAGTGGGTGCTTTCCCCTGCCTCCCCCTGTATCAGCAGACTGGGATGACGAATGATTACTTCACCAAAGGAAGCAGAAGCAGAAAAAGAGACTCATGCAAGGTTGTCTTCGAGTACAGCAGTCCTTTCATAATTCACTCCCTCATCAAGTCAGACATGTACACCCGCACACAACTCTCTCTCACTCGAACACACACATACGCACACAAAAACAAACCTTTATTTCCCAAAACTGCCAAAGTTAGCAAAGGCATCTTGTTTGGGTGGGACCACAGCTGGGGTGATGGAGTGTGGTAGGCCCATCCCTACTGCTGGAACTCCCATTCCAGCCATACTGCCCATCATCACTGGAGCAGACATGCCCATATTCATGTTCATGTTCATTCCCATCATGCTTTGGTTTACAGGAATCCCACCCTGTAAACCTGTGGTCATTGAAGCTGGCATACCTGTGGCCAGGGAGCCAGGCATGCCAGTTGTCATTGTTGCAGGCATGCCCATTGTCATGGGGTTGCCTACCATCATGGGATTAGCTGGTGGTCTTATTGATGCCGCATGGGGCGGAGAGCTGAGGTTCAGTCCTCCGAAGTTCTGGGCCAACAGGTTGACGGGAGGCACGCCTACACGGACACATATGGAGAGTTACTCAATATTCTCTGCTGTACAACTTATAAAGTATTATCACATCTAATAACTGGATCATTAGATGGCCCATTCTAAACAATATACATTACAGCACAAAAGCTTAGGGCAGTTGGCAGAAAATTAAACATCCCTACATACAGAGTAACAATTATTTTCAGCAACAAGGACGACACCTGCAACAGGTCCTTGTCTCACAGAGCCATGCTGTCAGTATCACAGGGATAATGAGGAGACAGAAGCAACTATGACACGTTCCTGAAGCTATCCAGAACAATGAAGCCCAGTTAGGAAGCCTTGAGCTGAGCTTTTTCATGGTTGCCATCTTTGTGTTTTACACCAAATGGGATGAGCACAGCGTGGATCTGACTGAAGACTTACACTATCTGAGTAATAATTTGATTGGTAAGTTGTTAGACTATGAGCATACCTGGGATAAACTGCCTTTCTGACTCTTAGAATGACAAATTACATAAGACAGTTACATGAGGCTTCATGTTTTATTCTGGATGAACCGAAACTATTGACTAAGCCCATAAAGTCATCAGAAATGAGGTTTACTGACCTCACAGAGTGAGGGAGCTGAGGGCTTTTCCCCCCATTGACTGCTCTAGAACTAAAAGTCAACCCCTGCTGGCCATTAAAAAGAATGCAGACAATTTTTAACCCTTGAAGCCACACCCATCTTTCATACCATCAACAGGAGCAACATCTCTGGAACTCCAAGTACTTTCAATAAATGAGTGCAAGTCTATGGATGAACACCAACTTTATAATGTTCTGTTTATTGCACATTAACTCTTTATGCAGGGGATTATTATTTAAAAACATCTTCAGTTTACTTAAACTTTTCTACAGTATTGAATATCCAAAAGGTCTTTTGACTTTGCCATTACACTAAATCTGTAATGTGCATCAATTAAAATCCTTATTTGTTTCCTCATACTGTGTAATACACACATACCTTGTTGCTGGATGATATTGTTGAGTGTGGGTGGTGTCTTAGTGGGGTTGAAGCCTGCTGAAAGGAAGTCCAAGCTGATGTTGACAGAGGGGTCAGACCAGGTTGACCCTAATGTTCCCTGACCTCCAACACCAACCTTCTGCTGTTGTCCTATGGGTGGCTGAGATGACATGGCTCCCAAACTCTGAAAAACAAATAAAAATGTTTTCTTTACACAATACAAAAATAAATATAGTAATATGTATAATAATTGAAAATGTACATTCTCAACTGAAGTGCCCCCCCCTCCAATTTTTATTTATTTTTATTTATTTTATTTTATGAGAAAAATGAGACCACCTTGTTACTGCACCTACCTGTTGAGAACGAGAGAGGGGCATGGTGTTTAAACCACCAGAAGCGCCGGGTGTCACCACTCCCAGAGAGAACGTGAGGCTCTGAGAGGCACTAAGTGTTGTATGTGGACTGGTTATTTGATTGTTAACTCCGCTCATCAGGTCCAAAAGCTCAGCAGAAGGTGGAATAGAGGTGGTACTGGAGGTCGGGGCTGTGGGTGACTGAACGCTGCCAAACAAGTCAGCGACAGGTTGGGAGGGACCAGAACTAGATGATGCTGGAGGACTGGCAGAGAAGGCATTCCAGTCCCCAAATTCTCCATTTCCATTGGATGATGCAGCAGCTGCCAATTGGACGGCAAAGGTACGTTTAGTTGTAACATATTGACAGGAGCTGCTCCACTCCTTTACTGCATCTTTCTTTAAAAATGTATTACTAAATATACACTCTCAAAAAAAAGAAAAATCTACATAAAAGTATAGTCCAAAGTTTACATCCACCCAAGGGCACAAATATCACAGTAATTTTGGGCTTATAATGATTTCTTTGACAGTCCCTTTTCCAGGGTAAAATGATTGTTCAGCATAAATGTTAAATGACTGCTGAAACTCCAGGGTCACTGTCCACAGTGAAGCGAGTTTTACCTCGCAATGGGCAGTGGCTGTCAACTAAGAAAAAAGACCCTGCTCCAAAATCGACACCTTCAAGCTCAAGTGAAATTTCCAGCTGCCTACATGACCAATCCAAAAGCCTAGAAAAAGGTTTTATGGACATGAAGTACAGATTGGCCATAACAGAAAGAGTTATGTTTGGAGGAGTAAACGTTAGGCTTTCAGACCCAAGAAGACTGTACCAACTGTTAAGCATGGTGGTCGTAGCATCAGGCTCTGGGGCTGTTTGGGTGGTACATTGCAAAAACTGAACTAAGAGAGGAGGACGACCTGCAAATTCTTCAACTTCACCTCAAATCCACAGATGGATAGTTAAAACATAGACACAGTTGGTTGTTCCAACAAGACAAGGATCCCAAACCATGAAGAGGTGGTATTAATGGGAATTAATGAAGTACAAATACTTCATTACCGTCCTTAAGTGGAATTTTCAGGTATCCATACTTTACTTGAGTATTTGTTTTTCTGACAAATGTTTACTTTTATACCAACTTTGCATTATTCAAACATTGCATGAAAATACTGGGTAGTTTTGTGCAGGATAAATAAGTTAGCCTGCAGCAAGCTTACAGCTTGTACCTGTGGTGAATTCTAAGTTGCACTGGTGCACAGTGGCTACGGTGCTGATGTTGGTATTCGGCTACATAAAGCATAATAGATCAATCTACATTTAAGCTGTGGAAGCTTCAATTAATTCACTGAATACCAACTGTATATGGTCTAGTTAAAAGATAATCTATAGTATAGTGTCACAGTAGGAAATGAAAAGCTGCCGAGTTAGCATATGAGACATTTGCTTACATATTGTTAAATTCAGTTTTGTAAATCCACAAAGAGCAGCAGGTGAGCTGATCACAGCCTGCAAACTTTAAAAAAAAATACATAAATAAATATGTAAATAAATAATTTACTGGAGTTCACAATAGAAATTGAGTTGTGATTCTTTTTGCCATGCTAAGTGACTACAACAGATCTAAGTGTTCCCCCACCTCCTGAATCCCACAACTGTACTCATTTTTCTGTTTAGGTGTATGAGTTGGGGTGTATGGATATATTTGTGCTTGTGCGTATACTTTTGACCCTGTTTATATTAGAGAAAATGCTAAATTAATTTAACTCGTGCACTGTTTTTTTCAAGTCATTAAAGACGATTGGTTTAAAATAATTTCACCCTGGAAAAAGAACAGTTCAAAGAACAAAAAATATATATATAAAAAAAATTAGCAAGACATTTATGCCTATGATAAGTGGTAGCAAACGTCAAGAGTATTATTCTACAGTATGAAGCCAGCACTAAAATGAGGTTTACCGGCGGAGGTTGGGAGGCTGGCAGAAGCTGCAGGAGATGAGAAGTCTGCAAAACCACCAATGAGGTCTGAACTGCCACCTGGAGAGATCAACACAAAAGCTGACTCATATAAACTGACTCATACAAAGTTCTAGAAAAAAAGTGACAAAAGCAGTTTTCATTTACCTGTTGTAGTGCTCTGATTGGACAAAGGGTCGATCACAAGCAGGTCAGCCAGGCCACTGCTGGAAGACTGCCTGCTTGATGGCTAGAGAGAATACAGGAGGAAAGTGTCCACATGTGTAAGTACACTGAAACTCTAACACATCTGGTAAGGAGCATGTGCAAATACCTTCTCCTCTGGGCTCTTGTCTCCAGTATAGTTGGCTGCAGCACCCAGGTCCAGGGTCTTGTTGGTTGCTGCCACGGTGCGCTTCCGTGTGGTGGTGGTGGTGGTTTCAGTTGCTTGTGTGATCTGAATGCTCTTTGTTGTGACGGTTTCCTCCTCATCCTTGAACTCGAGTGTTTCCTGCCTACCGTTTCTTGATGCTCGGTCCTCCTCATTGTCACTATGGCAACCACAAGGAGGATGTATAAGCGCTCATGAGATTTTTCTTTGGTTTCGTTGTTATTGTGCTATAACTGTATGTCGGTGCACGTTATTGGTTGGATGAGTAATCCAGGTCCTGGTGGTTTAAACATTAAACCATTTGATGTTCAATGTGTGGGTGACCATGCATTCATTTTTGTTTATTTATTATGAGCACTCAGTTGGCTACTGTGATAACATCTTCTGCAGCTTAAACCCTGCAATCATGCACAGATCAGTGTGCATTATTATTATTCCAGAATGCATGTTTACCTAATTCTGTCAGGCGAGTCATCTCGTTCCTTCTTCCTGAACTTGTTCAGAGTGTCATCAATGGTGCTGCCAATCTTATCACTGATCTCTCCGAGCTTCTCACTAAAAGGGAAAGATCCTCTGCTTTTATCCCAGTCTTCATCCCACTTATTCCGATCCAACTCATTAGCTGAAGGGAAAGATGACAGAACTGGAGATGATTCAGTTTCATACGAATCAAACAAAGGATGAACAGTCTTTGGTACCACTAGTATAAACCTAACTGCACATGCATAGTATCTATACTATTTATATGAGATATAGAAGTAGATAGGTGAATAGTATCTACCTAATCAATAAAAGACAAACTCAAATACAAGTTAATGAATTAATTAACAGCAATAAAAAAAACATAATACAGGTAACACTGGTTTAACATTTTCATAAATAAAATAAAATCAAGTCTACTGTGCTTTGTACAATCTCCTTACAAATGTTTGGAAGGGGAAAGTTATGTTATCAGTTGGGCTGTCAAAGAAAACCCAGCACATTACTTACAGTTCTTAAAGCTGCCCCCTCCTCCGCCCATACTGTCAGAGGAGACGCCAATGTATTTATCCTTGTTCTTCTTGGCCTTCTTCCTCTCTTCTCTTAATCTGTCATCATCCTGGATGAACTCCACCATCTCCTTCACCTTTTGACGCACATTAATACCCTGATCTTTACCATTCTCATCTGGACACAGAAGACACATGCAACACAGAAATGAAAACAAGACAATTACCTGGACAGCTGTGACATTTATTATCAACAGTACTTTGAGCAACACTGTAACCTTTCTTCCAGAGTCAGCCATCCGGGTCAATGTCTTGGAAGCTAAATGCTAGATTTCTAGACCTAGTTTATTTTAGACATAACCACATTACATCTCAAATTCACAGAAACATTAAGAAGACTTTGGACCACAAAGAACAATTAAATTCATTTAGACACACACCAATGAAGTGGTAGTTTTCTAGAGATCTCAGGTCGTAGATGTGTTCTCTGGCACTGGTGACGACCCTTTCAGAGCCATTCCTGATCAGGTAGGCCAGCAGCAGTAAGGCCTGAAAAAAAAAAGAGAGATAGAAGTAAGCAAAAACAGGGATGAAAATTTTTATTTTTTTAAAATAAAAATTAAGAGTCGGATTTGGTTGATGTTAGTGAGAAATGTTTCCTAAGAATGCTCAAATTCAGAGTGTGTTAAAGTTCCCTTTCCTCTATCTAAAAATCTAAACTTAAACACAAACTAATCTCCACAGCTGCGTGACTGAGGCTTAAGTTAATTTTCTTCATATGTAGTCTGACAGCAGATAGTGTTCAAAAATATAAGTAAACCAGTATGTCTGATTTAAAAACAAACAAACAAAAAAAAACAACAAAAAAAACCACCTATAGGACAAGAGACCAAAATTGCCTCAGTCAGGTTTGTACACAACAATAATCCAACAGTACCTTGTAGACTCGTCTCCAGTTCTTTTTGTTGTCCTTCAGCATCCTGGTCCACAGCATGTTCATCACCTCTGGGAACTGCTCATACATGAAGGTAGATCTACAAATACAAAAAACAATAAACAGCATTAAAAAGCTTAGAAACCAAATGCAGGCAAGTCATTTACACAGATTACACTACACTTACGCTCACTCTGAGTGAATACATGACCTACTTGGCTATTTCTCCCATTAGTTGTCCAGAGGGTCCCCAGGGGTCATCATTGGTGGCCTCTCTCACCTTGGACTCGATTTCTGAGTAGTTCATCACCACATTGGTGCTGTTGACACAAATATATGGCACATAATCTTCATGAGCAATTGATAAATCATTTTCATGCACAGGTGAATCTGCTGACTGTTTTTTTTTTTTTAAAGATAAAAAACAAAACAACAAAAAGAAACAAGAACAACAAAATAAATGATTAAAGTCATGCATATATTCATGCAGGATACAAGAGAGTTAAAAAGAATGAAACAAATGTTTCTCTGATAACAAGAATCCCAGTTCACTGAATAATGAATGAACTTTGTAAAAGCCTGACCGCTGCACTTCAGATACTCGAGACAAAAAGGGAGATGTGGGAAAGTAGAGTTTTTGTGTGTGTGTGTGTGTGTAAAAGGCAAAACAATGCCTGTTTCCTGCCCTCTTTGTATTTCAGGGCTCACCTGCTGCTGTGGTTGTTTGAACTGTTGTGCTTGTGTGCATGAGTGTATGTTGCATTTTTAATGGACACAGCTTGGTTTTGCAAATAAACACAGACAAAGAACATCAGCTTAAAGCACCACTCATCCTTTTCCTTATCATAGTCTTTATTTCCTGCTTCCTGATCTTCAACACTCTTATCACTTCTCCATTCCTAAGCAGCTGCTTGTTTTCTCCTCTTCTTTTTTTAACCTTTCCTCTATCGCTGCCTTCATAGCTCAGCTGTGATATTGTCAGTAGATACGATAGAGACAGACAGCAAGAGTTATAGGTCACCCTGACTTTTAAAAGAAAAAGCCACAACTGCCAGCTCTATTGAGGCAGATCAATAAAATCCATTCACTATGCCCAGCCAGGTACAACCAACAGCTGGTGGGAGCTGTTGTCCATTTCTCCATCTAAAGCTCTGCTGAGATCTCTGCCCAGGCTGCTTCTTTATATCCGCTCTTCTTAAAATCTCCAGATTTGAATTATCCAGATGCCACTTTGGCCTTGACATTTAGCTCATTTTGTATAATTTTTAACCTTATGAGACAATTTTTTGTCAATTGTATTTACTTTATTCAGGCTGGTTTATTATAGGTTCTGTTTAGATCTGCGATCCATCTCAAATCACTGTGGGCCTTCAGCTTGACCACAGATTTACCTCCAATTTTATCATCTACTGTTTGGAGATAATAATGGTTGAATGTGAAATCTTACCTTCACATTTGAAAGACTTTTGAAATATGTCTTGTAAAGTATAATAGTCAACCCAATTCCACCATGTTTTTCTTCCCGCACTTTGAAATTAGTATTTACCAACGAATATATCAAAAACTATTAACTATAAACAGCTGAAGTTTTCACTATCTTACCATAAAATAACGGATCAGGATCAATTTTTTGGGGATAGATACATAAAGGACGTTCAAGTATTGGCTAATTAAGATAAAATTCGAGCCTTCATGTAATTTAAGCCAAATTAGCGGTGGTTGAGCAGAAAATGTTCTGAAAATATGATGATTTGAGAATGATCCAAAGATGAATGAAAGGACCTTTTCAAAAAAGTTGGTTTACTCTCTGACCTAAATAATCTCAGTAAACTTGAAACTCAATTTTCGTTTCCAGATTTGAGGCAGTGTGAGTAACTCGCTAAAGCTAACCCAGTTTCTCTGTGAGACCTGAGGTGACAGGAAGCTGTTGTTCTTGCAGTGCAGAGACTGTACACATTATGCAGCACATTGTGCATACAACAATAGACACCACAAAGAAGCATGCGTAATCTACTGTTCACACAGTACAATGTGGCAGGCTGCAGCACCAGCATTAGGTCCTGGATCATGTCGTTTTAGTGGCTAACAAGCTTTGTTGTTTGGACCACGGGGACATGGGCCTCCTCAGACTGATGTAGCTTCTCTGAGGCAATGGAAAAATTTACTGCCCACATACATACGGCCAGTTACATGCCCATGATTACTGCTTAGATTCTCTATATATTATATTGAATCATGAAGGCCCATTAATAAGGATAGCGGGCACTACTGTAGGGTGGGACAGGGCGTGATTCTGCAGCAGCACGCATAGAAACACTCATAACATACCCGACCTGGGCTTAGCGATGCTAGCAAAATTAGCTAATAGGATAGCATTTTCTCTGGATGTGAGACAAATACATCTCCGGTTTATAGCACCGCTCTTTTCCCCTCCTGACTTTAGTTATTTTTAAGCAACGTGGGTAGAGACAGAGCTTTAAAAAATAAACAACAAAAAACACATCTATATTTAAAGCATCAATGTTAGAGATTGGCAGCTAGCCAGCTAGTCGACGCTAACAGCTGAGGACTATCGCCGTGACGTCACAGCACTAAAAGCTGCTGATGCTGCCCGGCTCGAGCCTCCCGGCTAACCGCTTAGCTCAGAAGCCACTTAGCGGTTTAGCTCCACCTGCTCATCGGTACTCACGCTTTGTCCACCAGCTCTCTGACTTTCCACATGTTCAGCATCTCCGCGCACAGCTGCGGGCTTCGCCGCCTCGATACTACGTCGCCCCCGTGTCTCTACACCCCCCCGCCGCGAGCCAGAGGTGGGTGTCCGGTTACCGACGACACTCTTCCCCCCCAGTCACTCCTCGATCAGCTCCGGTTGTAAGCGACCGCTGCAGTTATAACGGACCGGCCCCAGTTGCTACGGAAACGTCGTTCTCTGTCGACGTCACCGGCGCGTCGGGACCACGCATCGCTCGCGGATTGAATCACGTGCTTTTTATGTCAAACGAGAACGGAAGACTCGTTTTATTTGTTTGCTTTTGTTTTTCTGCATACAGTAAACAGGCAGTGCCTTGCTATAGGACACTTCAGCCTGGGGATGTTTGGCCTGTGCGGGATAATTGGGGTTTAGCTGACGGTATAAATAATGTATTTCTCATTTATTCGTATTTTCATATGTTAAACGGCATTATTATATAAGAAAAAACGAGTCAAGTTTTTTTTTTTTATTAGTAAGTACTTTATTCAAAATTGTGTATTCATTTTTGATGAAAAAACACAAAAATATTCAGTTATTTAATGTCTTATGAATTATATCTTTATAAGTAAGAGAACTATATGTATAATAACACATATATTATATACTATCTATAACTATATAGATGTAAAGTTTTACCACTTTGTTTTTCATATATACTGTTAAACAAAATAAGAAAATAGATGAATATACTGTTATTGTGGTCACTTTAATATAAATTCAGTTTTTACTTTTCTGAATTTTACATATTTTTAGTTTACCTTGTTATAGAATAGAATAGAATAGAATAGAATAGAATAGAATAGAATGCTATTATTTGTCATTGTACCTGTGTTCAGTGAAATTTGGAGTATCTGTGAGCAGTGCATACAGTTAAAATGAAAATAAATAAATATAAAAATTAGAAAAAACTGCATGCACAATACACACCAGAATTACAAGAACTATACACATATCCATTTCACAGTCTTTGGTCATATTAGAAAGTGTATGATTATCTAACATTTGTATTTTTTTTTTTTTATTTATACTATTTTTTTCTTTGTAGTGTTAATTTTTTATCTTATAAAGGTATCTGTTTTGTCATATTGTGAATATTAATTTATTCAATTAAAAAAACACCTTTTCTCTTTTATACTTTTTGTTTTATGTTTGTTGTTTTTAACTTCATTCTAAAAGCTGTAATAACAATTTCCCTGCGTTGGGATGAATAAAGTGTGTACCTGGGTGTTTGTGTAGAACAACATAAATTCAAATAAGCATAATTAGAAATAGACAAAAGTGATGTTTTCCACATCCCATATATATCAGGTAATACACTAAAGAGCATGAACAGAATCTACATGGAGAAAAAGAAACACTTTAAACTGGGAGCACTGGACCAAAATCACAATATCCTTTCCAAATTTGTAAACAGCTCCAGTGAGTTACAAAATACAAGTCTGAGTGGAAAGGACTACAGAAGACACACTATAACTACAAGTAAAACTACACATCCAACAACACTGTGTTTAACTGACACAGAGAATACCACCACCAAGAAAGACAAGGATAGGCTCTTCCCGTCATCACTGCAAATTATATCATTTTATAAACAAATATAAAAATGTAATAGTTAATTAAATTAGCCTGATTCAAATAACAATATAAGCATTTCTGTACAGTTAAGGTTTGTTTTATCTATAGTCTGAAGACCCGAAGATGACGTTTTAACGGTACTTTCATCCATTAGAAAATGCTCCCTTCAGTGGTTAAAGTGTAGTACTGCATCAAAGTGATCTTATAGACCTAAGTTCGACTTTTGAGTGAGCGCTGTTGGCTTGAATTATTCCATAACTAATAATGGCAGCTCTAAATTAGTTTAAAAATGATGTAAATATTATTTAATTAAAGTACACAGGATCCTGTATGATTTTTTTTTATATTTACAGGAGAAAAATAATGTTTAAATCTGTCAGCTGATCTCCCGCCTGCAGATCTCCTATCATTTCTTCATTCTTCCATCCATAATGATGCCCACCCTCAATCATCACCCTTCATCACTTCCTAGCTCCACTTCTTTTCCACAGCAGCCCTGCTCCACATCCTGCTGCAGAGCATCACAGAAGCTTGTAACCCAGCATCCAGGTCTTAGTGTTAGCCCGGCTTGTCTCCATACGTTGCTCCAGAATCATTTCTGCATGCTTAGCCTTTAGTTCCAGTTCCTTCGGGAGTAACCTTTCTTCTGCTGCCAGTCACCTGCCTGCCCTCATCTTCTCCCCTGTTCACCAGTTTATTCCACCGCCTGGCCGCTTTCTGCACAGCTTCCCGCTGTGTTCTGTTTCTCTGCCCTCTGGCCCTGTTGGGCCATTCTCTCAATATCATTGTTTCCCATTATTTAATTATTTATTTTACTTTTTAACTAGTTTTTGCATTTTCCTTGGATTCTCCTCCAAGAGTTCTCCCACTGACAGGCTTCACTTGAATTTTTTGGACCCGAGTGTGTTCCTGGCTCAGCATCTGAGTGAGCCAAAGCTTATATTATTGATAAGCTGGCAGAGATATTTAGGTCCCCAATCTGGTTCTTAACACAGTATTAGCCTCTAACAGAACAAAATAAAGACATCTCTTCTTTTGATTGATTCTTTTCCTTTCATAGAAGTGTTCTTCACTTTTTAATCTACCAAAAAAACAAACAAAAACGGGCCCATCTTAGTATTTCCTTGTTTAGTTTAAGTTCTTCTTTGACAGTATTCAGTGTTTTCATTTGAAGAAATAAACTGGCAGCAACTCGTACAACTCATATCCATAATGTATGAGAAAAAGACAAATCCCCCCCCCCCCCCATTCTGCCCACTCCCCTTGAGTATTTAAGCATTTGCAGACATCTTGTAGATGTATTTCTTACTAATGCCTCCAGTGAATTCAGTTTCACTTCTCTAAGAGGATACTTCCATACGCCTTTGCTTTGTCTTTCTACTCATTGCCATGGAGACCCACCTGCAGCACAACAACCTCAGCACAGAGCACATCCCCAGTGCCCTGAGCCAAGCAGGTCACACCGCGGCGGCCGTCTTTCTTGGGTTCGTACTGGTTCTGGGGTTCTTCGGCAACTTTCTGGTGCTCCTGGTGTTCTCACGTTTTTCTGGGCTGAGGACTCCGGCCAACCTGCTTCTCATCAACATCAGCATCAGCGACATGCTCGTTTGCATCTTTGGCACATCCCTCAGTTTTTCCGCCAGCGTACGTGGCAGGTGGCTGACAGGTTCCTACGGGTGCCAGTGGTATGGCTTCTCCAATGCTCTCTTCGGTGAGTGAGGTTAATGAAGCCCAGTTTTACTCTGGGAAAGGAGTGCGTAGCATAAAAGGCAGTTTTTGAACATCATTGTAGTTCGTATTTTTTATTCTTCGCTATTTCCATTAAAAAACTAACAAAGATCCAAATAAGAAAAAACCCCCACAACAAGGCTTCTTTGTATCCTGTTGGGTATAGTTTGTAAAATGTTTTTATAAAATTATTTTATCTTGAAATGTTTCTGCTACTCTGGTTATGAAAAGTAAGAATGCATCCTGTTTGATCACTGCTGCTCTTTCACCTGACGTCTCTCTATGGCAGGGATCGTGTCTCTAGTGTCTCTGGCTCTCCTGTCCTTTGAACGCTACTCTGTGCTGCTCTGCAAACAGCAGTCGGACTCCTGTCAGTACCGCAGGGCCTGGCTCGCCGTCGCAGCCTCCTGGCTCTATTCGCTGGTGTGGACTGTGCCGCCACTGCTGGGCTGGAGCAGGTCAGCCAACCTGAAATATTCCAGACCTCAGAGAAAAGTCTGTGATTTATAAAATAATGAACCACTACAGCTGGTAGAAATAGAGGCAGAGTGATAATCAGAAGGTTGGTGGTTCAATTTCTGGCTGCTGAACCCTTGTTCCCGATGTCATCAGAGTGAATATTAGATTAAAGGGCTAGAGCTGAAAAACACTAAATAAGAACCAGTCTGTTCACTGCTTTAACAATGAGATCAAAGGCTGAGAAATGTTAGGTCATTAGAGAGCTCTGGCTCATTGTAGTTCATTGTTTAAATGCCTAAAGATGATTAAAGACACAAGATCTCTCATGACTTAAGCACACTTTTTTGTTGCAGCTGTGTGTCTCTAATATATGTTTCTCTTTGGTTAAGCAAGTGACACGTATAACTGAGAATATTTGCATTGAATTGAACATTTGGGTAACAGGAAGCTGATTTTTCATCTTTCTTTTTTAATTTTGAAAAAAATCTATTTTTGTTTTTTTTTTTCATATTAAAGGTCAGCTGTGGATTTATGTATGTCATGCTGGACTTTGGTGCTGTGCCTTCATTTCCCTTTAAACCAGTTTATTTCTGATTGACTGTCATTCATTAAAAACAGGTTTTAACACTGAGCTGATGGGACTTCTCGGTCAGGGCTGTGTGCCTGAGATGACAACATTAAGGATATCTGCTTGTTTTGGCTCACAGAGAGTATTTGCACATATGCTGACCTCATTATTTGAAAACTTGGCCATATTTTATATGCATCCAACACTCTAACAGTACAGATATGGCAGGAAAGTCAAAAAAGGACCTCTTTAAAAAAATGAAAACATTAAATCAACCTCATTAAAACTGGCATTATTCTTGTTTTTCACAACAGAAGTATTTAAAATGTGCACATATTTTAAAAAACAAGATATTTTTCCTGCTCTGTGCAAACCCCCTGTCTATTCGAGAGCTGCTTGTTTCTGCTTTACTGTTTTACTGTTCATCCTGTGTTGCTGTGCAGCTATGGGCTGGAGGGTCCTGGCACCACCTGCTCGGTCCAGTGGCACCAGCGCACAGCCACGGCTCGCTCTTATGTCAGCTGTCTGTTCGTCTTCTGCCTCCTCCTGCCGCTGGTGCTCATGTTCTTCTGCTACGGGAAGATCCTCCTGGCTGTACGAGCAGTGGCGAGGCAGGTAAGCTCGTAGCTTCACCTTTGACCTCTGCGTAATGTTTGAAATCTGGCTCTCATCTCTGTGCATCTGCCAGTGTGTTTAAAAGAAGTGTGGGTGTCTGCAGGTCACAGGGATTAATTCAACCTACCCTGACTGGAGAGAAGGCCGTGTCCTCCTGATGGTGGTCACCATGGTGACAGGCTACCTATTGTGCTGGATGCCATACGGAGTTGTGGCGATGCTGGCTTCATTTGGAAGGCTGGGCTTAGTGCCACCTGCCGCCAGTTTAATCCCCTCACTGTTGGCAAAAACCAGCACTGTGATCAACCCCTTCATTTACGTGGTGCTGAACAGCCAGGTAAGAAAACAGGAAAAACTCCTCCAGATTAAAATGACACCAACTGTCATCAGCAGCAACTCCGATACCTGATTATTTGAAATCATTTTCATTAAAAACAAAAATAAAACAACAAAAGATTGAAAATATTCATTGGAAAACATTTTAAAATGCAAACACCTCCAATCATAAAGTGATGGACATGGTCAGGAGCAATATTCAGGGAGGCTGTATCATTTAAACAGTGCGCAGTTGATACTAAGGGATCCAAAGCATGCTGAGAAAATATCCCCCACATCATTACACCAACACCAACCGGCCTGAAATGTTGATACAAGGCAGGCTGGATTCATGCTTTCATGTTTACATCAAATTCCCTATTTCCAGTTTTCTGTTCTTCAATTTTAGTGAGTGCATGTGAACTGTTGCTTTGGTTTTCTGTTCTTAGATGACAGTAGTGACACTCGGTAGCTCATCTGCTTCAAGGTTTGACGAGATGCACTTCTGCATTTAATTGATAAAACGATTCAAATTGCTGCACCTTTAGACTGCTTCCAATCTTTCTTCTCTGACCTCTGACATCAACAAGGCATTTTCACCCAGAGGAGTGAAGCTCAGGGATCTCCTGTTTTGGACGATTCACTGTAAACCGTGCAGATGGTTGGGCAGGAAAATCCCAGCAGATCAGCAGTTTCTGAAATACTCAGACTAGCTTATCTGGCTAGTCACTTTTTTCTTCATTCTGATCCTCGGTTTGAACTTCATCAAGTTGTCTTGATCATGTCTACATGCCTAAATGCATTGTTCTAGCTTCAATGTTAGTATACTTAAAAAAAACCCAAACTAAAAGCAGGTGTAAAAACATTCAAGTTAACTGAAATAAAAAATAAAAACTGAAACTTGCAACTTAAATAAAAATGTGGAACCCCTGAGAAGATGTCCTCCAGGTGATAATAATTAGAAGTACTGAAACTAACAGTGAAACTAGTAAAAATTTATATAAAATTGAATGAAGCACAATAAATCCACAGTAGTTGAACTAAAATAAAACCCTCATACAATAAAGCCCCCATACAGGAAAAATAATTAGACAAAATTCCTGTTCCCATTTGGACTTATTGTACAAATGTTTTCTGAAAGTCTAAAATCCGCCTCATAACGTGTGTAAGAGATGGTCTGAAGCTCATGTTTTCCCCTAAAGATTATCATGTGGTTAATATCAGGCATGCATGGGTTTTCCTTCTACCTCTGTTTCCCTCTCAGTTCTCCAGGTGTCTCCTGCACATGATCGGTTGCAGCTCACAAGCTCCGCCCACCCCAGAAAACCTCACGCAGCCCAGCAGCAGGGAGCTGTGGAATCACGCTCGCAGCACGCCAACACAGGAACAAAATACAGTAACGCCCCAGTTCACGTCCAGTGGGCAGCAGGTCCAGCGTGGTGCTAGTGGCTCAGTGTGAAGCACAGAAGATAATGACTGTCCTGCTTTATAAACATGCTCTGTATTTATAATTAACGAGTCAGTTCTTTTTCAATTACAAGAAAAACTTCACATTACTGCAAGTGCACTGACATATGCAGACTCCGTCGTTCCTTTAAATAGTGCTATGTCAATTTGGCGCCACCGGGTGGCGCTATGGAGGGCATTAAACTAGTAAACAAATAGGTGGACCACAGCAAGAAGTGACATTTATTTTCTTTTTAATAATGCTCAACAATTTACCACAATTAGAAATTGTTCCAGTTCTGAAATTCCTGAATGGGTAACAGCAAAATAATTTATTAAGAAAATAAACATACGTCTTCAAAAAATATACAGTCATTATGCTTCACGAACACCGAGCTCCCAGCGAGTGAGGGATTGGTCTGAAGACAGATTCACATTGTGATGGTGAGGTCATAACAGCTGACATGATGGTCGAGCTGAAACACAGATTCGACCTGGAGGGGTGGAACGATGAGTGGCGAAGAAGCAGAACTTCCCTGAGCAGGTAGTCCACTCCAGACCTGCATCTTAAACACTCCGCCAGTGTACAGACACGGACACCGCACACGAGTCTTACGAACGACTCAGAAACACACATGGAACACTTAAATCTTTCCCGCCAGGTGTAGCTCCTCCAGAACTTGAAATCTGTCGTTGCGGCGCATCCATATTGCTGAACATCACAGCCATGCTTAGCTGGGGTGAGGAACATCTGCTGATTTTGCTTTCTATGGAAAGAAAAGACAGAGTCATTCACAGGTCACAGAATAACAGGAGAAACTATCGAGGCTGATTTATGGTTGCAAATTGATTCACTCTGGCAGCTACGTGAAGCTCTCTGCACCGCTGGATGTCACTTGGTGAAACATAATATCTGATTAGAGTGGATTTCTTGCTGTATGTTAACATGCAGGTGCAGCAGTGGATGTGCACCAACATCTGGGCTGCAGCAGCTGTCGAGAAACAAGAACTGTGGCTCCTTCAGACTGTTTATCATGGCACTGAAGATTAAGGTCAAAGACCTGTTAAGGAAGTAGAGGACTGTTTGTTACACACTTCCTGCTCGCTGGCTCATCAGTGTGCATAACAAGGAATGAATTATTGCCAGCTTTTGTAATGTAATTAGCTGCTATAGTCTCATATGGCTGCAATCCGACTCTGAACTGAGGAGGTTGAAGCAACATTTGTGTTCTTGCATTTTGCTACGCCAAGTACTGTTGACTGGCTTCATTTACCCTAATGTGGGCAATCAGGATAAGCGGTTATCAGAGACATGAACAAGTCTACTTGAATCTGATGGATTACAACTACAAGAGTCAGCTGTAGACTCAGTGGTGTTTAAAGCTGCGTACACACACAAACCACAAGCAGCTACTGGTGAAATAACCACAGGTGACAGGAAGTGAGCAGGACAAGATAAACTTTTCTCAACTTCCACCTGAGGGACTGAAGCGACTTCCAGTGAGAGTGAAGAATACAGCTGATTGACATTTGACTTGTCACTGATTTCATAGCCGTTGGTCTCTAATTTTGAGCCTAACCTGCTACGGAACAGGTTTTTAGAAAATGTTAACATGTGAACCTTCCTTGTAATACTGAAAACCCAAGGTTAAGTCTGAAGTTAGGTGGATAAGGCCAAATCCTACTTTGCAGTACAGATCTCTGGGCTGTGGTGCATTTGTGAAACAGCCAAACGGAGCTCGCCTACATGCAACACCACATGTAAAATTAGGTAAGCTACCACACAGCAAGTTGTAAAAAGACTATATAATGAAAAAGGATACATCTCTCCTGATCATGGGAAATACCATCATTCACTTTAGTGAAAACAAGCAGGAAGAAGCTGATGTTTTCCTGTTAACAGAAACATATACAAGCCTACTGCAGGACTCCCTTGAATCCTTCGACTCAAGGGCAAATCTTTGTTTTTTTTAAGGTTTCTCTTGAGAGGAAAAGCTGGCTCATTAGTTTAGTTTCACCCATTCCTGAATTTAAAAAAGCAGAGCCAACTTTTCTAATTTAGGTAGTTATTGTTCATCTGCATGTCCTTTTAGTGGTACAATAAAATCTCCTTCCACTGTTTCATATGGTAAATTCATCATGTTAGGGTTTGGATGTCTAAGTGGCAAAAACACTTTTAACTTTTAAACTCACGTGTGAGTAGTTGAACTCAGGTGCCAGGGGCTCCGTTTTTGTGTAGTCGGGAGGGTTGGCATGGGGGTCGTAGCCCAGGCGAGCTAGCATGGGAGCGATTTCAGCCATGTCGTTGACCACGTCAGGGGGAATTTGCCCCACCCACTTGGACAGTGCCTCCGTGTTCACTGGCTTCATCACCTGGTCTGTCGAACGCTCCACCCTGCAGAGAGCCAAACGCCCACGTCATGTATGCGAGTGCGCAAGTTTTATACAAAGAAAAATTAGTTCTGCTCATTCATTTGATCTCTTTACAAGCTCATAGGTGTGCCCCTTCACAGCAGCCTCAATGGGAAATAATAATTCATAAGTTACTGGCCACCAAAGAAAGATAAATAAAAGGGTTAAATACAAAAATAAAATATTAAAGAATAAAATAAACACATTTTTTCTATGTGCATTTGTGTCATAATCATGATTGGCAAGAATAAAACAGTTTAGTTCTTTACCGTATTTTTAATTTTGTTATTAATTTGCTTTTATTTTGTGTATTGACAGAAAATAATAAAGAGCGTCACAAAGAATTGCAGATGAAAACAGAGAATAACTCGGAGGAAACTAGTCATTTTAAATCTTCCATATAACTCCCTCTGATTTAATTAATGTGTGCACCCTGTTCCACATTTCCTACTTTAAGCATTTGGGTGACTAACACTGTGCCGGCCGTTGCATAACTTCTCAAAGTGAGGGTGCTAATTCTCTCAGAATGTGGCCTAATTCCTTCAAATGCGCGCCAGGTTTGGGTTTAGCAGCCAGACTCCCACCAAATCCCCCGAGCTTCTGGCCTGCAGAGAAATGCTCTACTTGAGGCACAACAAACAAGTGGAGCAACACAAATTAAAAAGTCTTTCTGTGGGAGTCCTGTAAGCTTTACTTGACCCTGAACGGTTTGGCTGATTTAAAATGAAGATTTTCGGCATCCTGCACGACGTGATTAGTATTTTTTTTTCTCATGGTGGGTTTGCAAGTCTTTACTTTGCCTGTTTTGAGTTGCATTTTTAGACTCGTGCTTACTGCTTACAGTCCTGATTTGCATGAGAACAAAACATCTGAGGTAAAACCCACAGGGTCAATCGCATTTGGTGAAATTCCCTTAAGACTAAACCTGAAACTGCTAGGGGAAAAAAATCTGCAGTAGTTTTTTTATAATAATATAAATGTATTAATCAATAATGAAAACAAACACAAAAACATACACTTGAACTTAAAGTGATTTTTTTTTGCCAATGTGCTTGCAGTCACATTACATGACAAAAGAAATGAGTTTCAACTTTAGAAGACATGAAGGTCTCACAGTCATGTGACTTCCTGTGGTTTAAGACTTGTTTTGAGTGAACACCTCACACATATCATTCTTCACACATATTTTCACACCGTTGTGCACCCTGCTATATCTGACACTGTCATCTTAAGAAACAGAGAAAATCTGTTGGAATACAAAACATAAAAAAACCTGCAGGACTGAGGAGGATCCCAGTGAATTAGCTGAGATCGCTCCGCACTTTAAATGAGTAAAAATCCAATTTTTTCCAGGTGCAACAGTTTCACTTTATTTCTCACTAATGCAGATGGAGTACTATCATATAGAAATGGATAAACATGAAGAAAAATGCAGCCATATAAAATAACTTATTCATTATATTATGGAAGACTTTATTTTAATTGCACTGTTGTTAATGAGGACAGACATAACTGTTGGCAGCATTGCAGAGTAAACAGTCCAACTGGTGCCTTTCTTAATCTTGGACCATCATTTAACCTTCAAGCTGTGCTGCTTATTTACCATAAGCACATCTGAGAAAGCCTTATCATTCAATAAAGCATGTTGCAGTGTAAGAACATTTACTTTTACTAATGGTTTGCTCTGTATTTTATTACAATGAAACTTTTATATGTTCATATACAGTTACTGAATAAATATCAAAGATGAGTGAGCAAAAATCTGGTCAGCACATGGAGTGTGTGAGCAAGATGTGTGAAATGTGGGAATCTCAGCTGCCTTTCAGAAGCCTGAAAAAAACAACACTTTCTATCGTGAAATATAGCTGCCCCTCAAAGCCAGCGGGGCGTGAATTCACAAGATGAGTAAACCGTTTAAATTCAGCATCATGCATGTGCACAGCGTATATGGCCTAACAATAAAACAGGAACGCAGCCTATTAACTGCAAGCTAACTGCATATTCAGCAAATCTGTTTCTTTCATGCAAACCAATTAAAAAACTTCCCTAGACCTCCTCTAGATTGGATATGGCCAGATGTGTGTTGACCATTCACTTCATGCGCATTGGAGAATTTTTACCATCCTCCAGCAGAGACTGCATGAAAATTTGTGGGATTACTCCTGGCTCAAATTTGACGGTCTGATTTTCACTTTTGAAACAACTGAAACACTTTTGGTTTCTCAAGTTGTGAAACATCAAATTTTGCAAAACTAGTAAAATGGGGAAACCTCAGTTAATTCAGTTTTGAATAAGTCGAGTGAATTAGGCACTTTTAAAAACAACAAGGGTTGAACAAAATGCTGTGAACCAAAGCGGTATAAAATGCAACAGGAAAATACAGAAAAACAGAAGACAAACAAGAAGCAAAACAAAAGAAAGGTGAAAACTCAGTCACATTTAAACGCAGCTGCAAATGGCTGAATTAACTGAGTATACTCCTCTCACAAGGGACAACACCTCTCTTTGTCTGTCTGGGTGCTGCAGCTCTCTGCTCTGAACAGAGTAGAGGGGGCAAGACAATGCTCTGCCCAAAGGCACTAAATTCAGCAAAGAACGTTACAACTTCTCAACAATAGTATGAATTTACAGTGTGTCACATCACACACAGTTTCATCCATTTTCTTCAGCTTCAATTCAGGTTTTTATGTGTAGGGTAGGGGGCTGGTGTTTATCCTACCTACCATAAGGTGAGAATGGGCAAGCAGTCTGTCACAAAACCATTCACACTCATGTTCACACCTATGTGCAATTTTAGAATTACCAGTCAAGCTAACCCCACTGACTGCATATCCTTGGACTGTGAGGAAACCGGAGTACTTGGAGACACCCCTGCAGACACGGGGAACAGGGCCTTCTTGCTGCAAGGCAAAAATGCTAACCACTGCGCCACCGAGTTCTCAGTCTAAATTTTCATCTAAAACGCCTCCTACATCCCTTCTGGATTTCCAACTTGGAAAGCTGGAAGAAAGCTAGCAGTAGACGCAACCAGTATTAAAACTTGAATTTGCACTGCCTATGTTGTGCGTTTTTGATCACTGATCAGGCTCTGTTCATGTACGTGTTTGCAGCGGTATTTTTAAGTGTGAAAACAAGTATTGTGCTCTCTTGCTAGCGATGCATGAATCGTTCAACCTCACTAAGAAGCAAAGCAAATCCCATTTTCACTCACTGTCCTGCCTTTACTACTGGAATGTGCTCAGATGACATCTCAGTTCAGAGTACCTGGAAGGCGGCAATTAAGTGTGATGACCTCTGCTGTGAGAGAGATAGATGTCAGGAGATAAGCCTTCCAGCTAGGGTGTGTGTTTAACATTAGCGTACACCACAACTCAACAGAAAATACCCTCTTACATGCTCCTTGATGCAACCAGACTGCAAGGCTGATCCAGCAGATCATTGCATAATTTGCATTTAGCCCCGTCTCCCTGTGCTCTTTTTTTTTTCCTCATTTAAAACTGTAAACAACAAACAGAAACTTCTGTTAAACTATTTTTTACACTTAACAGAAATAAAATCATTTCTAAACAGAACTGAAGGTGAAAATGCAAAGTATGCATGTGCATTAAAACCATGTCATGGTTGAAATGTAGGCTAGCACAATTTGCTAAACTTCTTCAGTGCATGCACACATTGCATGCAAATACATTAGGACTGCTGCTACTTTTAAAGGTTAAAAATAAACCACTGTGTGTATCTTATCATGTGGAAAGTTTCAGTGTAGTGTGCTGTTTATTATGCTGAGGTTTTGAGATACCCGCTTCTAAAACGTTTGCCACAACAGAAGCTTTCATTTGAAAAGACACTTGAATCAAAGGCAGATATATAAAGGACGGCCCATCTGAAAACTTTATAACATTAAACAAACTATCTAAACAGATAAGTATCACTAAAGCTAGCACATATTTCATGTACTCACTTTGATAGAGACACGCCACCAGCCTTTCCAATCAGCTCTTCGTGGTGCAGCACCGATGGGTCCCACTGCAAATCCAGAAAGTGCAGCAACTTTCTCATTTCCTCCTCTGGGTGGAGGACAAGCTGCTCATACCGGATGGGCTGACACCTAGTGTATCCGACCGCCTGGCACTGGCTGAACATGGTCTCCACCGCACTGCTCCACTTTGTTAGGCAGTCCCTGTAGCTGGTCAGGTCAAAACCGGAGATGGTCACCTATGAAATGAGGCAGAGTGTGAAGGTCACCACAGGAATCCCGACTGGGAAAACCCAGCGAGATGGCATGCTTTTTTTGCATCTCTTGTGGCTGCTCGAACAGCCAGCCTGAGAGGACGCTGTAGCATGAAGGAGAAAACAGACAAACGCACCTTGCGTGATATCATTGAGTGCACAGTTGCCCGTCCATCTCGTAGCATGAGCACAAACTTTGCTTTCGGGAAGATGTGAGCCAAATAAGACAGAGACTTCAGTGCAAACGGGTCCTTGTTGCAAAGGCGAGGCGCAGGCTCCCCGTGACCAACTATCACCTGGAACACACACACACCCTGAATAAAGTCAGTTATCATCATCTCAATATACAGAAATAATAACTGCATCAATATAAGGACTCACAAATGTCAGCAAACCCCTGGAGGCAGATCGCTGAAACTATTGGAATGAATGTCATCACTCAAAAAACTTGAAGTTGGAAAAATTTGAACAACAAACATGTTTGAAATTGACCACAACAAAGAGTGCGGACCCAGGACATTTTATTTGTTTCTATCACCTGGCACCACATATGAAACTCAGCCACGAGGTAATTAATACGTAATGCACTAGCTCTCATATAAATGCTGGCAACAACGTCAGCCACTTCTTTAGATTGCGTCGCAGCTCTACAAATATTCCCAGCAGAAGTGTAAATCGCGCTTAATGGCAACTCACCACTGTATTATTGTACTAAACAATAAGGTGCTGCCACTTAGACAAAATTTCCACATCAGCGCTTTTATAGGGGAAGAAGTTAAAACTGTAAACATTTATTCCAGGAAGTTTCATCTTATTAAACTGCTGCAACAAAGGTCTGAGCTTTTTTACTGGTGTATCGTTAAAATGAAGGTAAAAACCAACACAACTGAATTAACTTCCCACTTTTTTTTTTGATACACCATTTCTGCTCATTGGGAACTTCTTCCTGTCTCCTTCCTGGAGTTTGTATTGTTTATTGTTCATGGGGTCTCTAAGCTCCTCTTTTCTATTTCATCTAACCCTATACCAGCTGTGACAGATGTGTGCTCCTCCCTGAGCCTGATTCTGCTCAGAACTTATATCTGAGTGTTAGAGAGAGAAAGAGAGAGAAAACCTAACTCACAACATAAAGCAGGTTCAGACTGCTGTTGCTGTAAAGTGGTCCTATACAGCTAAGACCGAGCTGAATTAAAGCAAAAAAAGGAACTTTTTACAATATCCTGCAGGTTAATCTGGGCAAGCTACAGATTTTCAATGCTGAAGAACTAAAAGATGAACTACAGCTTAAAAAATATGGAAATTTGTCCTTCAATATTGGCATTTCTCTGGGGATTTATTGGGCTATACATGTGAATACAAACATGTGACTCTGTCTCTCTCACACACTCTTCACCATTAAAAAACATGAAGATGTGTTTCATTATCGCAAAAGCAGCCTGAGAAACCCACCTCCAACAGGAACGCTCGCACAGCTGAGTCCAACACGTGGTCAGTGACGCCGGCCTCATCCAGTCGTATTCTCTCCTTCACTGAGCGGCTCCAAGTGGCCCTCATGGTCAAGAGGCGGGGAATCACTCGGGTCTCTTCTCCACACCGCACGGCATTGTGGGCGTCCAGCATGACGCGCATCAGTGTCGTGCCGCTCCTGGGGAAGCCCCCAATGAAGATAATGGGTGTGTCTTCTGGGAAGTGATCAGTCAGGGATAAGCTCTGATTGCCTGAGCCCAGAGTGAGCTCCATCCATCGGCGCCGATGGCTTTTCGGAGGGCAGTCTACCCCGCTCATCCCCAGGTAGAGAAGGGAGACGGAGCAGAGGAGCACGCAGCCCAGCAGCAGGTTTGATCTGGTGCTCCTCATTGTTGGGGAGGTGTGTGTTTGGGAGTTAGGAGGACATAAAATGAATTCAGGGGCAGCTGAGGAGACTGGTGGAGGGACTCACTTCAGTTTAACTTAGCCAGTTTGACAGTCAGCTTTTAGGATGAGTGCTGGAAGTGATCCTGAAGAAATCCTGGAGGATGGTGTCTAGGAAGGTTCCTCACTTTTTTGCAGTTCTTTGCACCCGTTATCGGTGAGCAGGATCCAGGTGTGTCGCACTCCACAACCAGCTGTGCGTTTTATCCATGCTTCTTACCTAAGACAAGAGAGGAACATGTCATAAAACTCAGAAAAAGCTGCACAAGAATCAGCTTATAACCAAAGACACTGTGTTTCTCAATGACGGTAAAGCACTTCACTATTAGAGTACTTTCCCAGCCTCATTTTCCAGCTTCTGAGTATTAAAAAGCATGATTATCATGTTACAAATTTCCAATAAATAACTCTCAACATTAGCCCAGAGTGAGTTATCATCTGCTGGCAGCGTGCGAATGGTGGCCGTCGTTTTTGCCAAGAACACTTGCGCACACGTGCGCGCACACACAAACACACACACACACACAGGCTTTCAGAGGAGCTGAAATGCATCCAGTTTTTCTCCTCAAAGCATCTATTTTGCATCACTCCTCCGGGGAGCCACCGACTGCTAAAGCCATATCAAAGTTCACTGCGGCACGCAACGCAGACACACTCTCAGGCAATGTTTCTGAAGCCACTAATTACAGCTCCCTCATGCTTTTATTCTCACTGACAGTTTCTGCCACGCTGAAACGCAAATCAATTTGTTAAAGCTCACATTACTATTGACCAATTCAGACATCCTGCAAGTTCCCCATTTATCTTCTGCAATGTGCATACGAGGAGTTTCACAAGTCGGTGTTTAATTCCTCTTACTGGTACTCTAAAACAGCAAAGCATGTATAAAGCACCGAGCCACTACTGACTTAAGTAAATGCTTGAATTAATGCAACTGAAACTGCAGCGTCTTGCTAAAGTGTATCTGAAATATTCCTCCATTTCTCAGGGGCATTTTGGCATCTTGCTTGTTCTGTCTGGGTGTGGAGGGATCCCGAACATCTGGATGGCATGTGGGGGAGCAGTACCCTCTGTGGGTTGGATGAAACTGCCTGAAAAAATGTTCTCTCTGGCAAAACTAAAAGTAAAAACAGCTGTAAATGAGGACATTGGGGTTGGGCTATGATGGTTTGGTGCTGTCTTAAACTATATATATAAGTCTAGTAGCACCCGAACGATTTTTACATGTAATTCTAATTTAATTTGATGCAGAGATTAAGCCACTTGGAGCCTGCAGAGAATTAGGGCAAAGTACTGAGCCTTGATGCTTTTTTTCGCCCCTTTTTCCTCAACAGATTTAAAAGCCTGGATCAGACATGTTACAGAAAAAGAAGCATATTTTCCAATTTAAACACTCCAGTGTTTTAGTCCTCCCATTGCCAGTTAAACAGACATGTATGGATAGTTTTTGTCTTACATGCAGATTCAGTAGAAAGAGAGAAGGGAAGGAAATCCTCTCGAATGAGAAACATTAGTTTCTGATTATTTGATGGCACCTGAAGTGCAGAAAATCTACTGGATATTTTATTTTTAGAGGGAGCAAAACACTAGGAACATTTAATTTGTATATTTTTTAATGCTTAGTAAACCACAAACAAAAGTCAGTTCTCCTTTACTGCACTTCAGTGGAAGTAATAACAAATATCTGAAAACTCAGGCAAACCTTTCTGCATGGGTAAGCACGGGTTTAGAAAGAATGGTTAAATTGGTTTCTGCAAACACAACATATCTGAAAACTGTCCTTTCACAAACAAACCTAAAATAATAAGAGGAATGAACCGTGATCACAGTCCATCTGCAGAATCTGCAGTTCAGGTGGGTTGCAAGAAAGCAACACCTTTGAAACCTTTGAGCAGAAGACAGTCACGAAACCTCCAAACAAATATATAAACTGACTTCCTGCCAAAGATAAAAATCTTGACAGTTATGTTTTAAAGTTTCAGTGAAGAGACTCTCAGTTTGCAGTTCTCACCACTGAATGTCCGTGTTCATTCGTTTTTATGTTTACTTTATTTATACTCTATACCGTAATGACAGGCTTTCCTCAGTGAAGTGAATGCTCACCTCAGGTCTCTATATTTGTTTTATTCCTCATTTATTAACGGTGTTTGAATTTTTCGCCCTGCTCACCTGTTCTTACACACACCATGCTTCTGGTTTACAACAGTGAACACACTCTCACCACACACTTTGTTAGGCACACCTGTTCAACTGCTTGTTAACACGAATATCTAATCATCCAAACACATGGTAGTGACTCAGTTGGATGTTGTTCCCAGACAGGCTGATCTGAGTATTTCAGAAACTGCTGATCTACTGGGCTGTTTTTGCACACAATCATCTCTAGTGTTTACAGTGAAGGGTCCAAAAATAAAAAATAAAAGCGCAAATACCCAGTGAGGGGCAGTTCTCTGTGAGAAAACGCCTTGTGGATGCCAGAGGTCAGATGAGAGAGAATAACCAGTATGCAATAGAGCATCTCTGAAAGCAAAACACGTGAACTGGGAAGCAGATGGGTTACAGCAGCAGAAGACCGTACTGGGTGCCACTCCTGTAGACTAAGAACAGGAAACTGAGGCTAAAGTGCACACAGGCTCACCAAAACTGGACAACAGAACACTAGAAAAATGTTGCTTGCTGTGACGGTAGGGTCAGAATCTGTTGTAAACAATATAAAAGCATGTTCATGAAAGCATCCATGGTGCCTTGTATTGACAATTCAGGCTGATGCTGGTGTAATAATGTCGGGGATATTTTTTTTACCAACTATCCATCATTTAAACACCACAGCCTACCTTGAGTATTACTGCTGACCATGCCCATCTCTTTATGACTGCACTGCGCTCTTTGCTTTTGATGGCTATTTCCAACAGAAAGCAACACTTTCTGGTTTCCTGACATGACAATAATTTCACTGTACTCGTATGTGCTCCACAGTCACCAGATCTCAGTGCAGTAGAGCACCTTTGTAAGGGAACAGGAGATCTGCATTATGGACGTGCAGCCAAAAATCATGTCAATAATGACCAAAATCTCTGAGGAATGTTTCATTGAATCTGTGCTATGAAAAATCAAGACAGTTTTAAACCAAACATGGATCCAACCCAATACTAGATGTACCCAATAAAGTGTCCAATGAGTGTCTCTCACAGGAAACATGTGGCTCTAAAACTAATGAGCGGATCTATGGGTACATCCCTTCTGAAACCCAAAATGATTAGCTGACAGAAAAGCAGCTGAAACAACAGTTTTACTGTCATTAAACAAGGAAGAAGTGTACAAAATCTACTAAATCACTGTATATCCGTCCTATATCTGGAAGACATTTATCTTGCCATATAAAATGCCACGTTAACCCCAGTTTTAGTAAGGAAATAGTCCTTACTGTCACACAAAAACATATCCTTTGCTTCACATTTAGTTTGTAAGGATGTGCCCTCCTACTCTGTGCTGCATTGTTTCCTCTCGGTGTCAACAAATGTGAAATGACGGTCTCAAAGGCTTATGCTGCGTTGCAGCTGCTTCATCCTGAATTGAGGCTCTCTCTCGTTATTTATTTATTTTTGCCGAGTTGCACAAAAATATGTTGGCCCAGCTGGCTGCTGGTGGGTGTATTTGAAACAGGTCACCGCTGTCACTGCAGTGCGCGTGCTTGTATAAATAGGATTACTGCACGGCAGCAGAGCGCAGGCCCAGCAGCCACAAACATCTGGTCTCCCTGCACCCCGAAGCAGGAAGGCAAAAAAGCCGCCAGGTGAGTGAGTCAGTGCCCCGTTGGCGTTCACACACACACACCGGGGACACCTACGGCTCTCCATAAACGACAGCCAGACTGTCACGGCGCGTTTTCACCGCCTGCACCTGGTATGGATGGGCTAATTCGGTTCCATTTAGATAGCTATCCTAGCTGGAAATGTCTTAACCGTGAAAAAGAAAAAAATGGTGTTCACTCACCAGCCGAAATACGAAGAAGAAACACACACATGGACCTTAAGCCAGAGGCAGACAGCTGCTCTGTCTCCCCCCCACCTTCTCAACACACACACATCGGTGTTTACTCTCATCTATGGGCGAAGGTCACCGCCGTGGTGTCTACACCATTTCCTAACTTCGTGAGAAGTCGAGCTGTATCTAACATTCACACAGAGAGCGAGAGAGAGAGAGAGAGATAGGGGAACAGAGGATACGAGCGCAGGCTGGCAGAGAAAGCTGGGCGCTGATTGGACGAGCACAGCTCTCAATTCTAAAACGCATCTGCTTGGACGATTCTGATTGGCGGACGCGTTAAAGGGCAATTTCGTCGACATAAGAGAAGCCGAGCGAAGCAAAGCAGTTGCACCGGAGGCAAGAATTACTTTACCTTATCGATTTGTATGCTCTCAGTAAAAGCCCACCGGGGAAATTTAATCACAGCGCGCGATTTAGAGGAGGTTAAAGCCGCCTCATTTAATTTACCCATCGTTTCATTAGGAGCAGGTTTTTGGCTACCCTTAACATCGCCTTTATGATAGATTGCGGCCTCTGTGGACGACCATGTGTGACCAAATTACAAGTAAAGCTGCCAACATGCAATAAATAAAATATTCAATATCGACTCAGTCCATGGATAAGTCATGAGAGACATGAATAATAAATGAAATAACTAGTGAGGTGATGAAAAAAAATAAAGGAAAAGAATTATATGCTTTTGCTTTATAGGCTGACACTCTCTGGACACTTCATTAGAAAGCCAGTAAGTAGGCATCAAGTCAAACAAGTTAGGCATGTAGATATAGTCAAGATAACCTGCTAGAGTTCAAAGGGAGCCTCAAAAGGAAAGAACCATTTCACTACAGTAATTATGGTGATTATTGTTGGTGCTGGTCTAATGACCTGCTAGGATTTTCCCACACAAGCATCTTTAGGGTTTACAGAGAATGGTCCGAAAAAGAGGAAATATCCAGCGAGCAGCAGTTCTCTGTGCAAAAATGCCCTGTTAATGTCTGAGGAGAATGGCCTGACTGCTTTGAGGACACATAAGAACAAAGGTATGCAGAAGAGCATCTCTGAAAGCGCAACCAAATCTTGAAGCAGGTGGCCTACAGTAGCAGAAGACCACACTAGGTGCCACTCACTGTCATCTTAGAACAGGAAACTGAGGCTCACCAAAACTAAGCAGCAGGAAATTGGAACTACACTTGGTTTCGTGAACACAACACTGAGATCATTGCACTCAATTGGCCTCCAGACTCACCAGATCTCAATCCAGTAGAGCACCTTTGGGGTCTGGTGGAGCAGAACCTCATCATGGATGTGCATCTGAAAAATCTGCAGCAACTGTGTGATGCTGTCATGTCAATGTGGACATGGCATCTCAGAGGGATGCTGTGAAGAATTAAAATCACATTGCCAAGTACATACTGAGTCTAAAGCACATCCCTGTTTTTGTAAATGCATTGTGACTCATTTTAACACCACATCCTATTTCATATGTAGACTTTTTCCCCTTTTTACTTCTCCCCTGTTTAAATCTGAAAAAAAAAATTCCCTCACACAAGCGTAGTCCTCTGATGGAAAACTTTAATTACGATAATATGTCAATCTTTTCCCCCAATGATGCCAAAGATATGTTGCCTACTTCCACTTTTACTGTGTTCTTACCAGTCTTGACTGCAGAACAAAATTAATATAGTACAGTAAAACTGTCAGATTTGGTAGTTCGTTATCGTAATAATGAAAGTAACAGCGATAACTGTGATTGTCATATAGAAATTAATAAAGTGTTCCTCCTGTTTACATTTACAAGCATGACCGATTTGGCTGGGTTGGGGGGCTTGGCGCACTCAGATGTGCTGTCCAAAAAATCTGTGTTCACTTCACTTAGGCGTCCCGCCTCGGCAAGGTACTTGGCAAGCACAGGAAACTGAAGTGATATCTCAACAGGAAGCCCAAAAGCAGAAATATACATGAGTCTAACTAGCACATCCTTCCTCTACTATAACAGAAAGTAAAAAAAAAACCCAAAAAACTGGAGTTGATCCAGGGCCTGTGGTTAAAGAGTTTGTGCTGCAAACCTGTAGTTTATATCCCGTGTGACCTCTGCACAGTTACAGAAACACATCTCTGTGAAACATGTCCTGCAGTACTGACAACTACGGCCCTGCAGCCATACCTGAAAGCAGACATAGTGGCTGCAACTTTTCTGTGTGATCCAAAATTTACAAACAACCACTGCTTATTTCAGCTGTTACATCTCTTTGTAATGCAAAGGGCAAATTAAAGTGTCAGCATGTTTTAAAAATCATTGCTTCGCAAACTGAATAAGAGTTGAGTGACAACCTCCTGGCTTATATTGTTCTTCGTTATTACACAGCCAATCTAATCATACTGTTTGAGCTTACATTTATGCTGCACCAGCTTAAGTTTAATCGCACAACTGTCTAACATTGCATCTTTGGAAATCAGAGTCCAATAATTCCAATTGTGACACACTACCCTGTTTGATTTAATGCAGCTATGTAGTATGAATCCACATAGAGAAACAATCAGTATATCTTCTTCTGCTTATGTAACAGGTCAACTTGATGTGAATTATCAAGCTGTCGGGCAGCATGTGTCCCATCATGCACAGTTCAATTAGTCGTGCAAATAATCACAGTCCATCCAGTTCTGCAGTTATCTCCGGTTCTGGCCCGTCATGGTGTCATGACTGTTCGCCGCCGTCATCCATCTCTGTGTCTGCTGGAGCTGCGTTTTCTTGCTCTGGGTCTCCCGGTAGGACATCTGTGACTGTCTGGATAAGCTCCTCAATCTGCTCCTCTGATAGTCGCTCTTCACTCTCTTCTACCAGCTGAACACAGAAAGAAACTTCAGACAGTGCAACACTAAAGCCTCCTGATGTGATTTTATCTTCTGTTTTCAGTTCGTTTTTGCTTTATGTCTTTGTTCTGAAGCTTTTGATCATATCACATGATTTCCATCAGTAGATACAGTTTGCCAGCTTTCATGGAAGTGTCGATGCTTGAATGTCCAACAGGGGCAACTAGTCCCTGAAGTGCTCAGATAAAACTGGGAAGAGATCTGTAAAAGATCTATATATTACTGAAAACTGTTGAACTCTACAAGCTGATGAAAACCATGTGATATGAGATGAAAAGCACCAGACTCAACAGCGTCACTTTATCAGTGCATTCTTCAGCACATTTAGCGTCGGCAAAGAACAACTCAAACTACATTTTTACACAGTCTGAATGAGCCCAGACTGCTGCAGGGACATTCCAATCTACTAACTTTAAGGTGCAAGGTGGATATTTTTTGGTGGTGTTATTTTCATCTGTGATTTACAGCTCCACTGACAGATTTTGAGTTGAAATGACCCACAAATCTGCATGTTTGACATCATTTTTGTTTTTTCTTCAATAATGGAGCCTTAAAAGTGGCCATTAGCAGAGGTTAGGTTAGTAGTCCTATGTAAAAACAACACAAAACAAAACAAAAACAGTGTTTCTGTCCCGTCTGTGGAAGCCAGGCTCATCTGTTCCTACTTAAGTGAGCCATCACCCAGTTCATTTGTATTATTCAAACAATTTGAAGGTGCATTTGCTTTGCTTGTTGTTGCCTTCACAAATGTAGGTGTCCATGCCGCGTGCCTGCCCGGCAAGATTAAGACAATATTCCATCAGCCTTTTACAGCTCGGGCGTATAAAGCAGAATACCAGCACACCTATTCTTTAGGTCACTCTGAGAGTACAGAGTCATTTCTAATTAAATGAGAACAATGTAATAAATAAGAAATAAAAACACTGTAGATATGAAGATGCGATTTAATTTAAAAACACTTACAAGCTGGATTTCCACTGCAGTCAGAGGCCGGTGGTTCAGTAGCTGTAGTTTTTCTGCCCTGTTTGGGGGGAAAAACAGTTCTCATCTAAAAAGAGCTGTGCATCTTATGCTGTCTGTAAAGTTCTATTGAAAGCATCAAGGCTGGAAGTTACTGTGATGGCCTGATCTTACTGACTTTGTGAGTTTGTGCGGCACCATGGTGGTGAGAAACTCCTTGACAATCTCAGGGCTCTGTCTGCTGCAGGGCGTCTTCGACAGGTACTTCAGCGTCTGGTGGAAGTACAAACCAAACTGTGGCTGTGCTTTTGAAAACAGGTAAACATGAAAGGCACGAGGAACGCAGACGACGTTTTCTGACCTCATACATGATGGTGTTGAGGTTCTGCTGCCCGGCGCTGTGTTTGTGCTTCCCGCTGTCCTTTCTCTGCTCCTTCAGGTCTGTGAGGAGTTTGAACACCTGAGGAACACACAGGTAAACAAAAGTGTCATCGGCCTGATGAGTTATTCTTTGAACTGACCACAGAAAATAAAGAAGAAAGTGAGAAAATATACCTCATAGTTGCTGAGCATTGCAGCGTTAGCATTTTTCCTGAGAATAAAAAAAAAAGCACATGTAAGCATTTGTTTTTGAGGGTTATCTCAGTGGAGGCTGTGGTGTTTAAAAGATGTTTATACAAGGTAGAACAGATCCAGGCTTTCGTGTTTTTTATGCCAAATTCTGGCCCTACCATCTAAACATTACAGCAGAAATTGAGACTCATCAGGCCAAGCAACATTACTCCAGTCTTCAGGTGTCTAATTTTGGTTATCCTATATGTACAGTAGCATTAGTTTTCTGTTCTTAGTTGACAGGAGTGGCGCCCAGTGTGGTCTTCTGCTGCTGCTGTGGCTACAGAGTATTTGTGTAGCACATTTATAAACAATATAAAATATGGGCAATGTGCTACCATAGCAATGGGATTGCAACTATTAATATACTAAGATTATTTGTTCAAACGAGTCAGTTTAGTGCTAAGTGTCAAAATCTCAGCATTATTATCATTATTATTATTACCTAGTAGTAGTAGCAGCAGTAGTAGTAAATAATGCATCACACAAAAAGAAAACATCTCCTCGCGTGAAAGAACCTGGCATCTGTTTTCACGTGTAATTTATAAATAAATAAAAATAAAAAACAATTTCGATCCAAGCACAAAAATCTGGATCAGTAAAGTGCTGACAAATGCACTTGTTATTATGTTGTCATTAACGTTCTGCTGCGTTAACTTAATTTATTTGTTGATTGTTTATTTCAGATTAACTGGAAAATGTGACTACAGCCCTCACACGGGTCCCAATAACTGAACCGGAAACTAAAAGACAGCGAGGCAGATTCTGCACTTTTAACC